AAGGGTCATTAATTTGATCCAACACTTATATTGATTCAAATCGTTTTTAACCCGTTCAGATTCAATCCAAATCACCCGATCATTTAAAAATGAAATTAGTAGTATGGCATCTTTACTATTTTTATTTTTTTTGCAGATGGGAAAGAGAAGGCGGTAAAGGAAATAGTTGAAGAAATAGACGAAGAAAAGAAGTTGATTAAAAAAAAGATAATTGAAGGAGATATATTGGAGGATTACAAATCATTTTACATCACTACTCATGTTGAGACAAAAGGTGAAAACAATTTAGTTACTTGGATTATTGAATATGAAAAGAAGAATGCAAATGTGCCAGATCCATACACATATATGGGATTTGCTCTCAACATGACTAAAGATATTGAGACTCACCACATCAAGTGACACATAAATATATGTACTTGGAATAATGTGTGGTGTTATTAATGAATGTGCTTTGAAATATCTACTATATATATGTAACAAAAATAAATGGAGTGGATATGTAATTTCTATTTTGTAAAATTCTGCTTATATATAATATAAATAAAAGCTACTATTTGGATTGCGTAAGAGTTTCCCTTTTCTTATTCTTTTCTTTTTCTCTATGCTGGAAATTAGCCAATGTATGTGTTTTCCTTTCAACTGTACCATTTTTTTTATAAAGGGGATTGAAGAAGAAAAATAGTATAAAAATAAAAAATAAAAAATATATATCCTATCGTACTTTCTTCTATAAAAAAGAAGGAAAAACTAACTATAGCTATAGAAATTAAACATCTATCATCTCTACTAAATATAATTATATTTTAAAATAATTACATAATTAAAATATCTTTAAGAGATAGATTTAGGTATCTTAGGGTTTATAGTTCAAGGAGTGGGGACATCGACGATGCTATCACACATTGTATTGGTGTGGTGTGGATGAAGTGGAGACTTGCCTCTGAAGTCTTGTGTGATAAGAAGGTACCGCTAAAACTCAAAGGTAAGTTCTATAAAGTTTCTTTTTAATCCGGTCAAATAAGGATTTTTTTTGGTGATTCGAACGACATTGTTTTATGGGACTGAATGTTGGCCACTCAAGAATTCTCATCTCCATAAGATGCATATTGCAGAGATGAGGATGTTGAGGTGGATGTGTGGTCTTACTAGGATCAATCTGTGATGGACAAGATGAGGAAAGCGAGACTGAGATGGTTTGGAGATGTAAATATGAGATGATTAGATGCAGTGGAGCTAGAATTTCGCCTGGGGTGTCAAAATATAAAGAAATAAAATCGTATAGAGGTCAAGGAGTGTCAATATATATATATATATATATATATATACATAAAAAAAAATTCATTCTAGCTACACAATGTAATTTTCCGACGAAGGGGTGTCGAACGACACCCCTTAACTACATGTGGC